CCAATCTTCAATCCTGGCAGGCTATGAACTCCGTTGTGCTTGTCGTAAAATTCCTTCGCTGCCTCTCTCGCTCTCCTTTGAGCCACCGACGCGCGACGGATCCACGATTTCTTGCTTCAATTTCTCCTCTGGTAACGGAAGATCAGTCCTCAAAATCCAGCCGCATAAGAGCTGAGAAGATGTTGAATCCGTAGCTGAATGCGGTGTGCATCTATGTATATGCCAACAGAGCCTTCTACGGGTCGTCTTAACACAGTATGCGCTTTGCCACTCTGATTGCACTTTCCGCCATGCCATTGCTCTGTGCGAACGTTGGGCTCGAAAAACGGTGGAAGATGTCCGTCCCTTGGAGATAAGTCCTCCACGATTCGCTTGTGAATGGAGGACCCTGATCGCTCACTATAATCTGAGGGTACCCATGTCTGGCGAACATCCTATCCGTGACCTCCATGAGGGTTCCAGCCGTTGTGTTGTTCATATGCTCGATTTCCAACCGTTTTGAGTAGTAGTCCACGACGACTACGAATTTTCTCTTCCTATGGTCCTGTCCGAAATCCATTGCAATTTTCCTCCAAGGACCTCCCGGGATGTCTACTGGCTTCAACGGCTCGTGTCTCTCAGCGGGTCCACGGACCCCCGCAATCCTGGCCACCAAACACATATCTCGGTACGCCTCATGCATTCCTCGGTTCCCAAGTTAGCTGAATGCAAACGCTCTAGAATCTCGAGCCGCAATATCTTCTTTGTTCTCATACAGAGCAGCGAGCTCTCCCGTCGAGTTGTTCAGCCTTTTTGGAAATCCATCTCGAACTAACTCCATGACTCGTGAGAGCGTCTCGTCAAGCTTGGATTCTCTGGCCATTCGTTGCCGCAAGTCCTTCGAGCATGGCATCGATTCCTTCACGGTCGAAACGTACTCCTCCGTAACTTCTTCGATGTCGAAGTCCCGACTGGTCCCTGGGTTAATAAAGCATAATAAGCGATAAAGCATCCGCAAGAATCATGTCTTTTCCCGAAATATTCGAAAGCGCGGCATTGAATCTCATCAGGCGTAGAAGCATCCTTTGACATCTGAGGGGGGCGTCTGATAGATTTTTGGTTGTCATGAGTGGTACCAATGGTCTGTGATCTGTTCGTAGATGAAATTCTGGCAGGCCCAACAGGTACCTCTCGAATTTTTCGCAAGCCCACATCGCTGCGAGGCATTCCCTTTCAATCTGAGCACACCGTTCCTCTGTCTTACTAACAAGTAAACATTCTTTTTTGAAAATGACAATCGCCTGGTTTGACATGCTTTTCTGAAAGTTTCCGAGCCCTGGAGCAACCCCGAGTCGTTTTTCCCTGCTGTCCTGCATTTCATACCCTTTTCTTGCAGGCTCCGAAACCCGGAAAAAACACAATTTACATTGAAATCCGGGATATTTTTCTCGGATTTTGATGGAAATGTTTTTTGCTCAGGTTCCGAAGCTCGGAAAGACCCATTCCCATTGACATCCGAGCAAAGTATCCCGGATTTCGATGTAAATGGTGTTTTTTCCGGGTTTCGGAGCCTGCAGGGGAGGGGTACGAAATGCAGGACAGCAGGGAAAAACGACTCGGGGTTGCTCCGGGGCTCGGAAACTTTCAGAAAAGCATGTCAAACCTGGTGATCGTCATTTTCAAAAAAGAATGTTTACTTGTCAGAGTCCATTTCCCGTAGCGTTGAGCGACCCCGGCAACATGCCGATGAGCCAGTCTTTTGCTATATCTCTCGAATCGGGAGCATCACGGACGAATAAATACCGGCGGAATTCGAGGAATGGTGGAATGGAGAAATTCGGAAGGATCGAGATCTTGTTCCCTAGGTTTGATGACGCAGAACATATTCTTTCGTTGAATCCACAGACATCGGGAGATCTTTAGGAGCCCTCTTTTTGGACCGAGAGACTCAGACAAGAGCGGGATGTGGACTTGGAGGGTCGCTCGGAAGAAGGGCGTACAAAAATGTCAATCTCATCACAATTCGTTTTGTGTAATTTTCCAATTATCGTCTTACTTTCATTTTTGAGAAGTCGTACCGTCGCCCCCCCATAGTGCTGCAGACAGAGACTGTCCCGTTGATATTTCAATATTTGCTTTCCCATTTGAGATGCCCCCTCTCGGGCACACGTCCGTGTCTAACCCGGCGGAGATGACTCGGGTCAGAAAGTTTGAGTTCCCATTACGCCGAGGAGAGCCGACCGAGGAAAAGTCCCAAACCCTCGGCCTAGTTTTCCCGTCAATGGGGAGCGAACGCCCGAAATATTCACAACTAATTTTTCCGGCAGTCTCAATGTCGGGTCGAAGCGAAGAAACCCGCTGAGATCATGCGAGAATCTTCGGAAGACTCCACTCTGGACATGATCGTAGGCCGAAATTCGATAGCGTCGCTTGGATTCCCGAATTGCGTGGGGAGTTCATTATTAATTGGTTGCTTGAAGCCTTCCGTTGTAGGGCCGCTCGGTAGTGGCCGATGGCATATTCCGATGGCAAGCTAGCTGACCACATTGGCTTCCGATATCTGATATTTACTCACTTGCGAAAGAGAACAAAATTACTTTCCGATAGTTCGCGAGCCGCGAGATCCACCCTCCAGCAGACCGCGAATGTCTTTTCAATGATGTCCGCAGCCTACTGCCGAGTTTCCCCAGTTGTCGCCGCCGTCGTCTTCCCGTGAGTTGGTCTCTGCTTTCTCTCTGTGGCTCACGATCGTCGCTCTTGCTCGCTCGCTAGCGCGCTCTCTCCCTTCCTCGCAGCCGGTCCGGTTTCTTCTCTCTCCTCTCCGCTCGGTTTGACTCGCCAGGGCCGATTCGTGTACTTGCCAGCTGGTCTGGCCCGAAAACGGCATCGCGCTGCGTATCGGATACCACAGAGGCTCGAGGGCGGAGTTCGGACCCGGGCTGAATTTTGAGCCGAGCGATTCTGTTTATTGGTATTCATTCCTGTGTGTGTGTGGCAAAATTAGCCCCGAAATTTTTCGAAACCTCCCGATGATAGCCGCATGCCTCGAACAGGAAAAGACCAGAGAGCCTGTTTCGTTGGGCTGGGCTCGGTTTGCCCACCTGGTAGCTTGTACATCCGTCCGCCCGCCTGCTCCGCTACCACGCACGGGTCGTAGGAGCGAGCGACTCCCGTTCAGCGGTCCCTCGGGTGCGTGGGTCCATATTTGTCGAAGGGAGCTAGCTATTCGATTATCCTCAAATGTCTGGAGAAGCTCTATCGGAGCTCCTCACTTTCGATTAGTTCGGTAGTACACAGGTTGTCCTCGACGGCGAATCGTTGAACGGAGGCGAATCTAAGCGGGGCAAGGTCCGGAGTCAGAGCCGATAGCGACCGTCAAAAACAACATCGATCCAGCGTAACGTCAACCTGCTCAAGATCAGCGTCGGCGATTTCTTAGGAAAGCATCCCGAGGCGAATCATTCTCCTCTTCCTCCAGTCGCTCCAGAAGTGTTTTTCCAGTGCGACATCCACCCGGAACATTTTTCCGTTTCGCCGTGTCGGCGCGGCGAGATATTCGATAAATGACGGCTCATTTGTGACGATTCCGATCCGTGAGTTCCCCGGAACCGCGAATGCGCTCTGCGTAAGCTCCCGATATCCTTAACGGCACGGCGGATCTCCGGCAAAAACTCCGCGATCGGACTTCCCCGAGCTCTTTCCCCACCCCTGAGGTGCTCATTGTCAGTCAGCACATTCGGTGACTTTGTCATCTCGCGTTCCCAGGGCTCGAATCGATTGCTTTCGATCTACCATTGCTGGCAATGATCATCCATTTGTGCATTGAGTATTCTCGGAGTTGCTGTTGCACGTTCCGATTCCATCATCGCTCCAGCGTGGATATTCCTATCTTCAGTTTGCGTTCCGCGGATATCCCCATTTCGCATTTGGCGCGTCTAACGACGGAACCGATCCAGCGAGATTTTTTCATTCTTAAAAAACTAATGAGACTTTACACGCTCATCCCGGTGTAGAAATTCGTCTTCCGCATTCTGTGGTTTTCGTGGAGTAACGCGGGAAGAGGACAGGGAGTATCCGCGGCTGCCAAAAATTGAAAACAGGGAAACGTTCCCATTTGGTCGGCGGCCGGGTGTTCCTTTCTGAGGCTATTGAGCCACCCCGCCGCGCCGTCAAGTGATATGTCGATCGGTCCTCGAGCGCCATTTCCTATCGTTCCCATATTGTTCCTGGATCACGGTCAGCTCCCGTATGATTTTTGCACATCTATTGGAGATGTCTTTTTGATGACGCCCTGTACGCCCAAAGCGATCTGCTTCTCCCAAGAAGCGGTAGCCACAGAAGGAGCCACGAGCAATCCAAGTATTATCTGCGGACGAGAGAGCGCGGAGAACTGCGCCCGCCGAGATTCGCGGTGATGTCCTGCCCTGGAGCGAAAAGCAGATCAGTGACTGTTCGGCGATCGTCCAGTCCCGTATCGAGAGATCGTTTCGTCGACTTCGTCTTCCCAGTTTTCTGGAAAGTCAACCGTGCCTGAGCCGCCTGATCACGAATCACGAAGCTCGGGTCCGCATTTTCTGGGTCCTGATTCTCTGATTCATCCGGGTTGGAGCCTATCGCATGCATAGGATGGGCAGTGCAGAGCCCCCGCGATTTCCGAAGCCCCGATTCGACAGCTCGATTTCGCGCTAAGACGGCTGAGCGAGTTTTCCCATCGGGAGACGAGAGTTTGAACAAGTCCTAGTTTGACCCAAACCGTCGCATGGTGCCGCAGCGGGAATGTCACACCCAGTTAGCGAAGTGAATGAAGCCGCATATCGGATCACAACGCTAGAGAATTCTTTACGTCGAGCCAGAGAGATGACGAAGGGAGAGGAGCGGTCCTTATCAGCGGGCCAAGACTCAAGGTCCAAATCTTAAGCAAAACATTTTCGTACGGTCGCTGGTTGCTCTGGGTACAAGATCTCGACGTGTCTCTGTCGCGTTACATCCTTTGACGCTAGAGGACTCTCAGGACACATTAGGTTTCGTTTAAAGAACCGAGGATCGGCCTTCCCCCAGCCTTGATCGACGACCGTGACCGCCAGACTTATGCGCTGTTTCGATTCTCCAACGCTTGAGTGGCGAGAGCCAGAAGCAGACAGCACGGACTTATGGGCTCAAGGGGAAGTCAGACCGACGGAAGAGGAACTTTTATTCATGTTTTTCACATCACATTATTGTCTTTGCTCTGCATAACTATACCTAATTTCTATGAATCGAAGTATTGGCAATAGCCGTGAATGCTTTGGGTTGTGCGTGGTGATTCGGGTGTCTTCTCACTGACTGTCTGTGGACCTGTCGGTCGGTCGGCGCACGAGCGCATCCTGCACATGTCCGTCGAGTCGGGCACCGCGATCATTTCCTTGTCCACCGACGACCCTCGATTTCGGGCTATTCTTTATCAATCCTTCTCTCATATCATCCATCATTATTTTCATCACTTGATCTTCATAATTCGAATTTCTCGGATTCGGTCCTCTACTTGAGCTGTTGGGCCTTTGGACAAAACAGGCCGAGGGCCTGACCTGGCACGTATTTGTAGCAGTAGTCATTCTGAAATTGGGAGAAAATCGCATTGAATGTTTAGCTGATCGTGTACCAATGCTCGAACATCGCATCATCTCATCAGGCAACATCACTCATTGCTGGTCGGACCGCGCTGATTGACCTACCGTGCCATTCAGAGAAATCGGCAAGTTGTCCGGCTCGATGTACTGAGAGAGGTGCTTCGCGTCGACGAAGTGAATGATTTTCTGTGCCTCACGAGGCAGAAGTCTCTTGATCGCGGTCCAGACAGCTGGGGGAATATTCAAAGATCAACTCTTCGCTCGTTTGCTTTCTGTTGGTTTAGACTGGAGTTTTCCAGAAAATCTAGGAATTCGGAATGACGTGGAAGGATGCTTTAGCCATTACCTTTCAGAACCCACGGAATGTCCACAACGAGGATTTGTTCTAGATACGCGGGGTAGTAGTCGCGGAAAGCCGAGATCATGAAGTTGATTCCCTCCATATCCTGTGAAACAAACACTCTGATTCAGAATTCCATTTCCTGATATGATTTGTTCGAAGACCACCAGGAAAAAATAATCTGTCTTTATCGATGAGCCATCGAATCGTAATGGAGTTGATCGTTCTGGCGACTCCGGATCTCGGGAGGGAGCGATGACGATTATTCAGAGCGCGAGCGGAGTACTTGGGGAGGAAATACCCAAGCTCGTGTCGTGTACGTACCACGTTGCTGACTCCGGCGTTCTGACAGTCCATCATGAGACAAACCCGCTCCACATTCTTCTCCTTGATCAGCGTATCGAGGACGAAAGCGAAAAGCTTCCTGTGCTCCAGAGCTTCTTCTGCATTCTTCGGCTTGATGTGATTCCTCGCTTTCATGACGACTGGAAAAATAGTGTTTCCAGCTGGTAGATTAAACTATTATGAAACATATACAGAGACCGCCTCTATCTTCTGGAATTTGATAGCAGTCCACCGCCCGGAGGCAATTGGGCCCCTCGCTCCCATCTATAGAGCGTCTGGATCCCGAAGACTCTGCGGGGATTGACTGCAACGATTTCGGAGCGCGCCATCGATATTTTGCAGTGACCCTCTAATTCTCACGACATGGACCGAAACTACATGATTCGGAGACTCGCGCACGCGTGAGTCCTCGATTTGGCGGAAACCGACAGATTGTTCCTCGCAGCTCTGGAGTGATCTTGAGGAGTTTTCGAGCTGGCTCCTCAAGCGCTGACCATTTCTACCGCTTGCCCGCAATAGGCCCGCTCAAGCATAACGTGTTACATTGACATTTTATCGAGTCGCCGTTACCCACCACAGAAGCCCTAGGAGCCTCGAGTCGATAGGCTCTTCGAGTTTTTTGGATTATCATCTTCTGGACTAGCTCGATTTTCTGTAGTCGGCCGTTCTTTGGCAGAGCCTCAGCGCGTTCTGACGTAAGCGCTGCGGCGGAATTATCCCGGCCATTGTGACCGGATGTTCGGATGGTACGGTGAACGTAAAGAGTTGCACTGGGTCCGAGGCAAAGGACGCGGCCTTAAACCTACGCTTGTGTCCATGGGCTGGATCCGATTCTGGTCTACCGCGGAATGAGATTTTCCCCCTTCGTCGCCAAATGACCGAATGTGGCCGCAGTCTCTAGCCGAAATCGATGCCGACTCGTCTGATCCCCGATCACTCTCTCCCTTTGAATCACTTTCCTCTTCGGATCCGAACCGTTAAGAATGAGATGGACCATATGAATTTTTCCTTTTACGCTCGATTCCCCGTTAAAGCGGGAAGAGGGAAGACGATCGATGTCAAATTCCGGATTTCCTGTTCTCGATTGAATCCGGACAGGAGAATTCGAGTAATGAGCATTCGTCGCGTGGCGCAATTATTAATCCGGAGAAGTTCGGAACGATCATGGATGCGTATGATGAATGATCAAATCCGAAGGAGCAAGTCAGGGAATTATTATGGAACAATCGTCTTACGTATATGGGCGCCGCTCTTCGTGACTCCGTAGGGGTAGAGAGACTCGGACTTGAGGAATCGGCAAGCCTTGAGGGTCGACTCGCTCATATCTGGAATGAAGAGACCTCATTAGTGATCGGATGCCTCGCGAGATTTTGTAAAACGGAGATTGACGAGTGAAAGAGCCGCGGCGCTCCGACGAGCACCGGAGCCTTATTTTCTGAGCCGTTTTTTTTCTCCGGCGACGGCAGAATTTCGGAGCTCATGGTTGCGAGGCTTCCAAGCCCTTGTGCCACGGAGGACATTTCAGCGCCAGGGCTCTAATCGAGGCGAACCGATAGTTCATCACGGCAAAAGCTCCCAGCGCCAGCGACGGAGTGTGGGCGAACGTCACGTCCTCGTACGTCCAGCTGGCTCACGACATGATGTGCCAGTGGTAGGCGAGCGACGGTTCCGCTTTCACCGTAGCGTCTATGCCCAGCTCCGCGGGAACTTGCAGTACGTCACCACATCTTGTGTGCCTCCCGATTCTCGCGCAGCGCCCGTCCCAGAATTCGCTAGTTTTTCCGGGTCATTCACTCGCGGCGTCGACGGCGGAATCACCTACGTTCTCGCTGAGTCCCGAGCGGGAGTATTAGGGCTCTAGCCTGGGTGGGTCAATGGTTCTGGAACTCACCGTTCACTCCCATGGATTTTCGCCATTCGAAGGCTTTCTTGGCATACTCGACCGCGTGATCTGGGTCGTTTTTGGTCATCCTCAGGAACCGACCGCAGTATGCCGCATCCTCTTGAATACGTTTCACGTCGGCCGGATGGAATATCGCTGCAAAAAAAAATGTTTTGCTTCAATTTTGTACCGACAATCCTCCCTGAAACTTTTTTTGTGAGCCAAAGCGGGTAATCGTGCCTCCATGAGAGTTGAGATCAGAGATTCCCACTTGGCACGCCTCGATGCCGATGCCTGAAGTTCCGATAACTCCGATTCACGACTTGCATGAATGCGATCGTACTTTCGTATCTCGGTCACGCCCGTGGATTCGCGTGGAGCCTTGATAATAATACTCTGAAGGTGTCAAATCAACAGCGTGTCGATACCTGGGATGTTCCGGAGAGTGACGCAGCAAATTCGAAAAATAAAGCGTCAATGCAAATAATACACTGGCGTGACGCTACGCAAAGCCTCTGTGGATCCCGAGGATAAGGGCTGCCTCAGTCAGGGATTTCTCACTCAGAGATATGGAGTGGCGCTCGCGATCGGACTCACCGATTAGCGGGGATCGAAATCGAGCAGCTAACATAATGGATACGAGCTCCGATGAATATTCAGTTGGCAACTCCATCAAATTGTTGTCCGTCGAAACAGACGGGAACGCGTGATCTCGGAAGCGGAACTTCTACGAACGGACATGGCCATACTCATCGAGGCGGAAATCGGGAATCCGGCGAATTCGGGCGGAATATCCCGATGGGCGAAATCGAACCCGGCGCTGACCACGAGCGGGGATCCCCTGGCTCCGCGAGACAAGATTTCTCGACTCCGCAAAGAACCGTTTACTTTATGCTGTGCTCACGACACTCAAGGAGCGTCACATCCTTTTCTTTGTTTCGCAATGCGCCGAAACTTCTGGCTTCCGAGCCCTATTCGGAGTTTTTCCTCGTGATACAGGGGTAAGCGGGTGCCGCCTCAGGGCCACCGCTAACCTTTCTCTCTGGTCCACTGCTAAAGATGAGCGACTGCTCCGAGTAGACACCCATATGGGGCCTCGGTCTCGAGCACGCACGGAACGCTTTGTCAAGCCAGAGCGTGGCGGGACCGATCAGCCTCTGTAGGTCCGTCGAGAATACGCAGCCTCGAATGCCTCTGTATCGGATGGTTCGAATTCAATGGCACATTGAATCTCCGTCATGGAGCGGTTTTTCCCGATGAGCGTCCATCTGAATCCACGCCATCTCCTGTCATCTCTGATTACACCCCAGTTCCGGGCGTATGTAACCGTTGACCTCAGAGAGCAACAAAAATTTCCCATAAGCCGCTGTCAAAAGTCATACCGGCGCGATCACGGGGACTTACCGAATTAATCCCTGTAGTACATCTCTCGCACTTATGTAATAAGGCTACACTTCAAAACGAGTCGAAAACACTAGAAATCAATCGCCTGAACATTCTACTCAGATTGCGATCGACACTGGCGAGAAGCTAGTGGCCGAGCTGACCTTGGTCTCGGGAACGCTAGACCTGTAGGCCTAGCCTGAATCAGGCAGCTCGTTTCCGACACTGAATGGGTTGACAGCTCGAAGCCGCGTAGACACACGATAGAGCGACAAAAATACGCGCAAGCTCCGGAAGGCTCTTAGAGCTTCCCGGAGCGATTGAGGCGATGCCCCAATCGAAGGGCAACTAAGGCGGGGAATCGCTTCCGATCCAGAACGATTAAGGCTTCCACCGGAAGGTTCTTCCCTCGAGATCGGATTTCGAAAATCGAGAAGGGAAGTTTCCGGCTGACCGAACCCAAAACGGGGCCCGGCTTTACAATATCTCAGAAAATTTCGGAGACACTCACTCGGGTTGGTGTTGATGACATTTTCCATCTTCTGTCTGAACTCCTGGACTTGCTGCTCGTGTTCACCTTTCATCTTGCCAGATGTTGCTCGTCTTGAGTCGTGCACAGAGGGTAGAGGTCTTTTCGATGCGACTCGAACACACAGAATACTCAGAGCGATGCTCGGGAGGCAGATTTTCACGGGCTCTTCTTCCAGACCAGCATCTCGCCCTCACCCAAAGAGATCCAACGCTCTCCGCCCTGAGCCGTGAATCACTCGGCGCGCACACGTGGATTCAGCCCTCCCGTATACGAAAGGGAACGCGTCGCGCCGTCGACGTTATGCGTCATTCTTCTCCGTCGGAATCGCTATCGCGAGAGGAACGTTCCACTCCAGAACGGCCATCTGACCGGATAACCCTCCGGATCGCTCCCCGAACCGACGTTTGTCGCTTTCGGGACGGCAAATCCAGGCAGGCGAATATCGGATGTGGAGATTGTGGTATTTCGATTGACCCTCCTTAGAAATTATTTTCCCGCAGAACTGCGTCTAATCGAGACAAGCGATCGATAGAGTCGGTGCGCGGACGTATTGGCGGACTCCCAGAACGACTGACAAGTCTGTGCTATCGGTACATCCCCGACGGGATTTACCCCGAAGCACCCTCGATCGATTATTATTGTTATTGCTATTATTAGGAAGCGACAAATCTGAAGGAAGCGCCGCGAAATCAAAGTCGGTCTCTTCCGATGGTCGTCGTTCCCCATTTTCGAGCGACCGAACGTAACTCAAGCTGGATAAATAAAGCAGAACCGTCGGAAAGCCCGCAACGTCATCGCCGACTCGCTTATCGATCTCGGGCCCTATTGGAATATCGTTAACTCCAAGCGCCGACAGGATGCGAGTATCGTTGGGTTCAGCATCACTCCAGCGTGAAGATCTGGATCGCCTTCCCGCGACTCTTGACGTCATGTCGGTGCAACGTTAACGCACGCCCCCGCTGCGAGAACCCAGACTTCTCGTGGATTCGAAACATCCATCTGAGTGGGGAAGGCAATTTCTGGGTAGCGATAGATACTCTTGTCGGAGTTGCGATCTGCCGCATTCCGCGGATGCGATATCGCGATGCGCGACGTCGGGGAATCAGGAAGTTTCCGGGAAGCTCGGAGTAAAACGGTTTTCGAGACCTGCTGTCTCTTCGTGCGACAACTGAATTTACGAGGCTCTAGTCCAAGGATCAGGGGATTTCTCTTTTTGCGAGAGCTCCCGTCTGAACTCCCCTGTTCATTAAATGCATTCAGCTCGATATTGGCGCATCGGTACGCCTGCTAAACGGGAACAAATATTCATAATTGAGCAGATTCGAGAGAAATGACCACTTTTCCGATGGATTTAGAGATGAGGGCCTGGAGGCCGATTCGGTTGATCAAAATAATTCTGACTCTATCTACAGCGGAGATTCGTGATTGCCCGAGGAACTCGATCGAAGCTGTCAATAAACATCTTCAGGAACAAGGAACACTATACGTGGCGGCTGGCACATCGAGAGGGGCTTCACGATAAACAGCAGGGCCGGAGATGATGTGATCCTGAGTCTCGTTCCTCCCCATGCGCGGGGCTTCCCGACTTTTTTCAGTCTCGCCAATGCGTATGGAAACCGCCCCTGGGTAGTCAGAGCACGCAATCGACCGACGGATCTGCAATGGATTCCTCGACAAAATCCGATGAAATTCTCGTGTGATCACCAATGGTCAGAATCGTCTATTGGATGAGTACTTCCATGCATCGATGTACACGTTGTCTTACTTCTTCCTTTCTGACTCCAGCGCATCAGCCGCTTCTCTCGAAGGAACGGATGAGTCATCACAAGAACGACGCCACGGTACGCGCGCGAGTCGGTGCTGAAAAGGTCACGGTGTCTAACCTCGATAGGATTGAGATTATCTTCCCATGACCCGCGGTGCGCCGCAACTTGTGCTTACTCGTCAGTCTGTTGCGTCCGAATGCGAATCTTTTGATGTTGTTTTCTCACTCGGCCGTCATATAGGGACTAACGCGTAGCGTCTGACCACGAGTCCTTAGAATCGGCCGATACCTGATACTGCGTCCAAGCGCATCGCGTGAATCTCGAGCAACACTAGACCGAGAAAGGTGCATTCCGTCCAATCGACGTCCGAACCCCGAGAAGGACGCTCTGGGGAAGCTCGGATTCAGAAACTCGATGGCCTCGCTTGCCAGAGAATTCAGACGACGCGACGGTGTGATGCCCAAAACTACCGGATCGAGAAATTGCATCCTTCGGAAATTCGCAAACGCCGAACCAGGTTCGCGCGCCTTGCCGCTGAAGATTTGCCATATTCCCGCCGGCGAATACCACGGCGTCAGGTATATCTAGATCATTGAAACCACATGATTCGCCAAGCATATAGCAAGAACTTCTGCGGGAGTTATCTAAATTGCTCCGGAAAACACCAGCCTCCTTAATCAGCGGCCAGTCTAGTCAAGGGATTCTGGCGTCGCTCCCCGTAGGATCAAGCGAGACTCGATAAGGACTTGGCTCTCTTGAGGCAACTTTTATGTTCGAGCGTCCGTTCCGAGATCCGTAGCCGGAAGCTCAGGGGATCCCCATGTATCGCCTCGATGGAGAACATACCCAGTACCGCACGGTCTCGATTCCGCCAGGTCCCCAACATTCGAGTGCGATGACTATCCCTCGCGGAAACAAATGCAAGCTGAGGACCTCAGACGGCTCGGACCTTAGCTCTGCAATGCTCTGGGTCCGGGAGAATAGTCGTCTTCCTGCCGAAGTCGT